GGTACTCTCCCAATATTTGATAAACTATTCATCATGATACGAGTTGTCAAATATTAAAAACCGCCGCTTAAAAGTAAATCACATATATTTTTATTTTTATGGGGTGACGTCGTGACCATCTATTTTCTATTTTTCCCGAGAAGTATCATCCAGAAGTTTGGATTTCCTTCAGTCCTTCTAGATCTCCACGAAATGAAAGTCTAATACCAATTTCCCTACTAAATCAATAATTCTTGGTTAGATGTTGTTTTAGCGATTGGTTTGTAAACCAAAAACCAAGCCCCGTAATATCCAAAATTAAATCAATATTAAAACCTGACGTAAATCCGCGTTAACTACTGATTTAAATCCAGAAAATTCTCAAATCAATTTTTCAATTCTAAGAAGGGTTTTGTTCAAACTAAATTCTTTTTGCAAATCAAACCCTCAATTAAAAATCGTGCAAGTTAATCCTATGAAGTCTAAAGTCACCTGCAATATAGGACATGTGTATATTTGTAACAAAATTTAAATGAGTTTTGTGCAAAACAACCCGTAAACTAATTTTGTTTTGCAAATTTAACCTCCAATTTAAAAAATATGCAAATCAAAACAACAACTAATATGAAACGGAGGGAGTATGAGTAAGCTGATTTTCTTTCTCATGATATCACTAGGTTTCAAAATCAAGTTTAGATTTTGTTGTTTCGTTTTATGTTGATCTTTTGATATATGGAGAAAGACATTTGTGTGATTCTGATGTTTATTTATATATTAGATTATCTAAATATCATTGCCTATGAGTAGGAGTTTAGATATTAGATTATCTAAATAAACATCAAAATCACACATATTTACATAGGTCCGTTTTGATAAAAAAATAAAGTTAGTTTAAATGTTGTAAATGACATAATGTTTTGAATCAACATTTATAGTTAATGACAAATACACATATGCCCGTTTTAGTGGTGATTTATGACTTCGAGGTTTGATTTGCATATTTTTTAAGTTGGGGTTAAATTTGCAAAACGAATTTAGTTTGCGGGTTGTTTTGCACAAAACTAATTTAAATTTTGTCACAAATATACATATGTCCTATATTGCGGGTGACTTTTGACTTCATAGGATTGACTTGCACGGTTTTTAGTTGAGGATTTGATTTGCAAAAAGAATTTAGTTTAACGGTTGTTTTGCACAAAAACCTTCTAAGAACCTTTACTATTTATTTTAAAAAATTGGGAGTCTTAATCACGACCTGCAATGAATCTGTAGTTTACAGTAGAACATTAACTAGCTGATCTATTTTCTATTTTCCCCCGAAAAATATCATATAGCATTAGTTCTGAGTGATTTACACTTTGGGTGACTTTTTGACTTCTCTTTACAAAAAGAGGAACTTTTATTCAGAGGTGGACTTTTGGCCTGTGAAGATTACGAAATGCCCCATAATGAATCATGACGTGAAATTAACTGAGGTTTTCACTGTATCGGATTTATGTCTCCTTTGACAATCAGAACGTAATTTAACCGGAACCTCCGATCTCTGAGACGTACAGATCTCCAATCAGTTTCCTAAATCCTGGGATTAAGCATACGAAATTCTCCGTTTTATATGTATTCTATGGAGGACTCGTCTTCTATGTCTTCGGAAGTTGTTACTTTTAGAAAGTTAGATCTGTGGACGGTTTACGATTAGACGAACTAAGGAAGGGATAATACTATTTTGTACAGTTTTTATTGTACGAAAGAGTTGGATACGCCGGAAGATAGAAGAAGATGAAGTAGTTTTTGGCGATTATTGTGGTAATGGTGGCGGCCGAAACAGAGGTTCGGAAGGAGGATTATTTGAGGAGATGGAGAGGAGAGAAAGAGTGTTTGGAGGTTAAGATAGTGGGAAAGAGTAAGAAGAAGAGAAGCAAAAAAAAGAGAAGTAGATTGGATTTGTACACTTACATCGTTGGACAATTTACTACTGAATTCCACCATCCACAGTTGATAACGCGGACAGTTCGCCGGGGTACGATTTAATGGCCTACACAATTATGGATGGTTTCTCTTTGTATTGAACTCTCTCTCTCGGATTTGACAGTGGATGATTAAACTCGAAAGTGGATTATTATTTCACTTTAGTTGGACATCATATGTGTGTCTGTTTGGAGGTTGAGAGAGAGTGGGAGAGAAAAAGAAGATGAGCCAAAAACAGAGAAGTAGAAACAATATTGGAGAACAGCCAAGTAAAGGAAGAAGATGGAAAAAGCTTGGTGGATAAAAAAACAGTGGCTCAAAAAAAACTGGTTTTGAATGTGAAGAAGAGAAAGTCGAGTTGTTCCAATTTGGAAAAGTGAGAAGACAAATTAACCAAACACCAAAACATGATTAAGAAACTAAATATCAGCAGAACACAATTTATCCATGTGTGTTATAAGTAAGAAATATTACAATTTAAAAAAGTGAGGAGACAATCTAACCATACACCAAGACATGATTAAGAAACTAAATATCAGCACATCGACAACCCTAAGAACAACTATAATACTTGGGTAGCTCATATGGAGCATCTCTTTGTCTCAGTTGGAGACAACCTTTGTCTCTACTGGTGAAGATCGATCTCACTTGTGTCTTGACCCATCATGAACAATCACAGAAAAATTATGCCTACAAAAAGAGCATATCTGCATTGAGAAACCAAATTTATACTCAGAACACAGAAACCAAATTTACATAGTCAAACACATCTTGAATTATACATAACAATTTCAGGGAACAATTCTTATGTACACCTAAACGCATATCAAACTATCATAAAAAATGCAGCGAACTAAAGTCATACGATGAAACCAAACAAATGAAAGCTAGAAACGAATCCAAAAACTCATCAAGAAGAAATGATCAAACTGTTCCATATCACCAACATTCAAGAGCAGGGATCATGACCAGAAATCTAAAAGCATCCAAGACTAAAGCATCCAAGCAGATATAGAAAGCATCCAAGTGTGTTAGGTGATAGGTCTACATGAGTAAAGAAGTGAAAATTAAACAGAGCTCCTTGCTAAAACAGAGGATAAAAATAAGATAAAACAGAGCTCCTTTGTGTACCAATATAAAACAATCATACAAACAAAATATGATAAGATCAAGGTACGAATAGTGACAACCACTCTAAACAAAAGTTTAAAAGTAATAGTTTCAACATATTCTCCAAATATAAAACTTGAGTACATCTCAAGACATAATAATTTTTCTAAAAGATGCTTTAATGTATCGTGTGAATTCTAGCTTGTTTGGTATTCCATAGTAAAATCTTAAGCCAACAGAATCCCATTGAATGTCTCATCATACCTTCAAAAGCAAGATGGATACACAAATAACAAAACTATAAGGAAAACTAACACTAGCATTATGTAATCACCATCAAGAAATCTCAATTTGATAAAGTCAAAGCATTAATTAAGAATGAAACAAATCTTCTAAAAAAAAACTATTATACAAACTAACCACGTGAAACAAACTATCCACATCAAAATATCAAAAATGTTGACACTAGTTTAACAAACCATCCAAATCCAAAACTGTCCACAGTAGTGAGATCGACCATCCATTTCGAAACTGTCCACACTAGTGAAACAAACAATCCATTAGAACTATCCACAACAAAACTAAATGATAAGATCAAACTATCCACAATGATAACATAATCAGTGTAATTATCTCCAACTGATTATGTATGCAAGCGTATCTTGAGTCCACATCAAACTATTCATAAGCGAATACAAATGCAGTGGACATAAATTTGATAGTAGTGTGGATTGATCCTTGTAGACTGAATGATAACAATGGCTACCGAGATATGGCTCAAAATCATTTCGTAGTTATTACCTTTCAATTCGAAGACAAAAATAGACAAAATTTAGGATACCGTATCTATGTGGAGAAGGAATCTCAAATAATTTTGGGAATAAAAGAAACAGAGCAGAAATTCGTATCTTTCATGTCATTTGCGTAAGAAGCCGTTGTAGCTGGGTTTCATAGAGAGTCGCCACTGTCAGAAGAACGAGGATTAGGAAACCTAGCCATGGTTAAGGGATTAGATTTTGTTAGGAAAAAGGAGGCGAATTCTAAATCGACGAGCTCTGAAAATCTGAAATTAGGATTTTTCTATGATAGACAACGAGATACCTTCCATACTTCCCACGATTAGAGTGAAATCCAATTGAGACCCAACAAAAAACATCTTCCAACGGACCTAAATAGCCATATGAAAGTAATTTCAATCCGAGATTTCCAATTAAATACATTTCATAACGCGATTCAGAGAAAATTTATGATTGAATAGATTGCCAATTCGGGAGATATGAACTCCAAAATTTGGAAGGTGATTATGGAGAGGCAAAATAGTTGGGGATGATAATGAGAGAAACATAAATCGTAACAGGTGAAACAAAATGAAGAAGAAGAAAGTCGATGAACCCGAGAGACATACCTCTAGAAATGGCCGAGATCGGAGGAAGTGTATCATCGACGGCGGAATAGATTTTGGGTAAATCAGCGTGTTCTGTTTGACGGAGTAGAAGAAGGTAGAAAGAAGAGAGGTAAATGTAAAAAACAAATGACGGAAATGTGAAAGAGAGAAAATGAGGGCAGCTGAGTAAACTCACTTTGTGAAAGTCCACCACTTTTACAAAGTCCCAGAGTAAGTCTAAAAGTCCACCTGAGTGTAATTTTCTCCATTAGTTCTACATGAAGTTTGGATTTCCTTCTAGATCTCCACGAAATGAAAGTTCAACCAATTTCCCCACGAAAACAATAATTCTCGGCTAGATGTTCGTTTTACTGATTGGTTTTACTTTGTAAACCCAAAACCAAACCACATAATATCCAAAATTAACCCAATATTAATACTCGACGTAAACCCACGTTAACTATTGATTTAAACCCAAAAAATTTTCAAATCAGTTTCTCAATTCTAAGAACCCTTACTATTGATTCTAAAAAATTGGGAGTCTCAATCACGATCTGGAATCATGAGCAATGAAATTGTAGCTTACAGTAGAACATTAACTGGCCGAGCTCGAGGAAGAGTTCTCGGTGTGCCAAAGAAATGTTGGGGTGGGGAACTAATTGTGGAGAGAATCTCAAAATCTGATCAAAGTCTGTACTGTCGATACAATAGATGCGTGAAGGCGGCTGCAAAGGGGGTAAATCATTGTGATTGTTCTTCCCCATTTTTTTGGATATATTATCGATTTGTTTCACATTTCTTGTCAATGTTTGTGTATATAGCTCATCAACGACAATCATACTTTCAAGTGGGTTGATGATTGGTCAATGATGCAAAAATATTGCGTTTTCGTCATGAAAGACTTAAAGATGATGTAAGTTGTTGGAATAAGCTTGAAAGAAGCTTGAGTAAGTGAATGGTTAAAGAATCACAAGTTGTTTAGGAGATAGTTAAACATAAGTGACTTGTAATAGGATCAGGATTAAGGCTCTGTTATATAAGGAAATGTCAAAGGAAATGTCAAGTTGTGACATAACTTATGAGTTTAGAGTTGTGAGTTTGAGAGCTTAAGTTTTGAGAGATTTTCTTAAGTTATAATAAAAAGAGTTATTCTTTATAATCTTTGCGTTTCACAACACTTTCTAGATTCTATATTTGGTATTAGAACCTTCTACGATCTAGGAGATATGGCAGGAGAAGATGGAGAATTTAGCGTAGCCGTGGAGAAGCCAAAAGAAGGAGGAGGAACCTCTTCGATCATGTATCCTTTGCTCAACTCAACTAACTACACCGTGTGGGCTCTGCGAATGAAGATAGCACTCAAGGTGCATAAAGTCTGGGTGGTTATAGAGACCGATACGGTTCCACTCAACATTGAGAAGAACAACATGGCTATGGCCTTACTCTTTCAGTCAACACCGGAGGCGCTTACCCTTCAAGATGGTGAACTAGACACAACAAGAAAAGTGTGGGAAGCAATCAAAGCTAAACAATGTGGGAGCTGAAAGAGTTAGAGAGAGGCTAGGCTGCAAACATTGATGACTGAATCTGATATGATTAGGATAAAATAATCTGACAAGATCGATGAGTTTGCGGGAAAGTTATAAGAGATATCTTCAAAATCAGCCACACTAGGAGAGAGTATCCAGGAATCTAAGCTAGTCAAGAAGTTTCTCAAGTGTCTTTCACGAGTAAATTTTATACATATGGTGGCTTCTCTCGAGCAGTTGCTAGATCTCAAGACTGTTAGTTTTGTGGATATCGTGAGATATCTCAAGGCTTCTGAGGAACGTATCCTCGATGAAGAAGAAAGTCAGGAAGAACAGAGTAAGCTAATGTATGTGAATTTGGAGACTCATGTGAGCTTCCAGAATAGAGACTTTAGAGGAGATTCCAGAGGAAGAGGTCGAGGAGGAAGGTTCATGAGAGGAAGAGGTCGAGGAGGAAGATTCATGAGAGGAAGAGGTCGTGGACCTAATGGAGGAAGAGATATATCAAAAATCACGTGCTTCTGGTGTGATAAATTGGGGCACTTTGCATCACAATGCCCTGATCGCTTGCTCAAGCTACAAGAAACACATGAAACAAATGAAAACGATACAGAAGACGTAGACAAGCTCATTACGCATGAAGTGGTCTACCTAAACGAAAAGCATTGTGTACCAAACAAGTTCAAAACCAACATCAATGGAGAGATGGTTTGGTACCTTGACAATGGTACTAGCAATCACATGACTGGAGATAGAAGATACTTTTATAAGCTTGATTCATCTATCATCGGAAAAGTGAGATTCGGAGATGATTCATGTATTGATATCAAAGGGAAGGGTACGATTGCTTTCACAGATCTGAATAGATGACCAAGAGTAATGAGTGAAGTCTACTTTATACCGGATCTGAAGAGGAACATCATCAGCTTAGGGCAAGCCACAAAGTTGGGGTGTGACATAAGACTCAAGGGAGGCTATCGATGGAAAGTTACTCGTGAAAGCAGAAAGGTCTAAGAATCGGCTTTACAAAGTTTGAATGGGATTACAAGAGAATGATTACTTACATCTCTCAGCTACAAGTGTTTCAAGTAAGTGACATGCAAGAATGGGGCATGTAAACTTTGAAACACTGAACTCGATGATAAAGAAGGAACTTGTCCAAGGAGCACCTAAGAAGAGTCTTAAGAAAAAGATTTGTAGTTTGTGCTTTCTTGGAAAGCAAAAAAGATTGAGTTTTCCACAAGCAACTGTCTATCGAGCAACAAAGAAGTTTGAGCTCATTCATGGAGATCTCTGCGGTCCCATAAACCCGAGTACAAGTGCAGGAAATAGGCACATCTTTGTGCTAATCGATGATTACTCTCGCTACATGTGGACGATTTTGATGAAAGAGAAAAGAGAAGCTTTTAAGAAGTTTAACAGCTTCAAAGCCATGGTTGAGAAGGAATTGGAATCAAGGATACAAACTTTCAGGACATATAGAGGAGGAGAATTTGTATCTCTTGAGTTCATTTTTTTTCTGCCAAGACTCGGGAATCAAAAGACATCTCACCGCTCTGTATACACCTCAACAAAACGGAGTTGTAGAGAGAAGAAACATAACGTTATTAGAGATGGCGAGGAGTATCTTGAAGCATATGCGCATGTCTAATTATTAATGGGGGGAAGCCATTAGACATTCTACATACTTGTTGAATCGTGTAGCAACAAAATCGCTTAAGGAAAAGACTCTGTATGAATGTTTTAGGGAAAAGCGGCCGAGTATTGAGCACATTTGAATATTTGGCTGTACTGCATATGCAAAGGTAGACAAACCACACTTGAAGAAAATTGATGACAGAACAAGAATGCTTGTTCATTTTGGGACAAAACCAGGATCAAAAGCATATCGCTTACTTGATCCAAAAACAAAGAAGATAGTGGTGAGTCGAGATGTGGTCTTTGATGAATCAAAGGGATGGAACTGGAAGAGTACATAAGCAAAGAAGGAAGACCACGATTCTGTGCTCGTTTTTGGTGATTTTGGTGATGATGGAACGCAAGAACAAACAGAGGTTCTTGAATAAAATAATGAAGACAACAGTGATCATGATACACAGGAGGACAATGAAACAGAGAATGATAGAGAATATCAATGTAGACCATACAGAAGAGCTGAGAAAATCTACGAAAGAGAAAATAAGGCCGAAATATCTTGATGACTACATTCTACTTGGAGAGCAAGAAGGAGAAAGGCTTTTGTTGTGTTTGAATGATGAGCCAAGAACTTCTTTGAAGCTAAGGAATCAAGAGAGTGGATACTAGCATGTGAAGATGAAATCGCGAGTATTATGAAGAATCATACGTGGACTCTTGTGGAGCTTCCTGTTGGAGCTAAACCAACTGGCTTAAACTGGGTGTTTAAGCTCAAACTCAACTCTGACGGAAGCATTAACAAGCATATGGCTCGTCTTGTCGCAAAGGGATATGCACAACGGTATGGGGTGAACTATGATGAAGTATTTGCTCCGGTAGCTCGACTAGAGACAATTCATCTGCTCATTAGTTTAGCAGCAGCAAGTGGATGGGAGATACATCATCTTGATGTAAAAACTGCTTTTCTTCATGGAGAACTAAAAGAAGTTGTCTATATCACTTAACCAGAAGGTTTCGAAGAGAAAGGGCATGAAACAAAGGTGTGTAAACTCCATAAGGCTCTGTATGGTCTTAAGTAAGCACCAAGAGCATGGGACATCAAGTTAAATCAGATGCTTAAGGAGTTACGTTTCGAAAAGTGTTCAAAAGAGCCAATGGTCTATTGTATCTAAAAGTATTCGAAGAGTAGGAGTCTCTCTTCCCAAGTCCAACAGCAGCATCTTCAGCAACATTAATTCATTGGTCAGTGTTCTCATAGCTCGGTATTCGGCCTCAGCGCTTGAGCAGGCCGCCACCTTTTGTTTCTTGCTCTTCCATGTCACCAAGTTGCCTCCAATGAAGGTGCAATAGTCGGTTGTGGACCTCCTATCTTCACGGTCACTGGCCCAATCCGCATCACAGTAATGAACGATGTCGGAGCTCCCATTGCATCTCATCCATATGCCTTGGCCGGATGTTCCTTTGAGATATCTCAGAATCCGATCCACCATCTCCCAATGGTACTTCTTTGGAACTTGTATGTGGTGGCTAATCTGATTCACATCAAAGCAGATGTCAGGCCCAGTAAGAGTAAGGTAGATGAGCTTACCCACTATTTGGCGATAAAGTTTGGGATCGTGGAACAGCTCATTGTCTCCGATCTCTCCTTGATGCGTTTTGTATGAATCCTCCAATGGTGTCTTAGCCGGTTTAGCATTCTTCTTGCATACTTCATTCAAGAGATCAAGTATGTACTTCCTTTGGGATATAAAGAGACCTTTTCTTGCTCTACAAACCTCAATCCCAAGGAAGTACTTTAGTGTACCCAAATCTTTTATCTCAAAAACAGATTGCAAATATGATTTAGTCTCTTGAATCCCTACCTTTTCATTCCCAGAGATGATCATATCATCCACGTAAATGAGAATGACTACAATAACTTCCTTACGTTGTAGGGTGAAGAGAGTGTGATCGGCTTCTGATCTTTTGAAGCCTCGGTCAAGAAGAGTGATGCTCAACTTTCGATACCACACTCTCGGTGATTGCTTCAAGCCGGAAATCGGTTTCCGAAGCTTGAGAAACTTTCCCGACTTGACAATATGCTCAAGACACTGTGGTGAAGTCATGTAGACTTCCTCATCGAGCTCTCCTTGGAGGAAGGCGTTCTTGACATCCATTTGCCATAGTTTCGACTCTAGATTAGCCACCAATGATAGCACAACTCTAACTGTGTGTAGTTTGGTAACTGGTGCGAATGTGTCGCAGTAATCCTCTCAGTAGGTCTGAGTGAAGCCTCGTGCCACTAACCTGGCCTTGTGCCTTTCAATTTCACCACTACTTAGATACTTGAGCGTGAAAACCCATTTGGAGCTCACAACCTTCTTTCCCTTAGGTATATCCGATTCATCCCAAGTATGATTCTTAATCATAGCTCCTGTCTCATCACCAACAATATTATATTATTAATTATTTTGGATAGGATTCCGAATGTAACAATATTTGTTTTTTTCATTTTATAGCTGAATGATGGTCTTGTTATGGATTTGATACGTTAGAGTTGAATAACTTTGTCATTGAAGTTGTTCTTAGTCTCACTTGTAATGATACCCGATGTGAAGATATTTAGGGTGATTTTCAACTCGTAAGTGTTTTGAATTGCATTCATTACTTCCACAAAAAAATAGATTATCTAACTTATACTTTTTAATTTGAACAGCTACATACCAAGAAAATAAATCGGTTGAATGACATGGTTTATGTGAAATATAATTGTGCTTTGCAACGTCGATATAAGAAGAGTTGATCATATTCTCTTGGATGATATAGATGAAAGTAGTGAGTGTTTAATGGGGAGAATGGAATGAAAATTTTAAATGATGAAGGCAATGATATGGTATTTGAAGATGATGAATAAACATGGAAACATGTTAGCCAAGCTTCAGGAAGAGTTTATCCATCTTACTAGAGCAACGACAAATTCAGGATTTGTAATATCCATGAACTGTCTTCTTAGTATGTACCCATGGTTAGTATGTTCATGACATACTCTACCCATCAAACTTTCATGCTCCAATATCCATTTTACAAATTTCTTAATTGTTTCTATAAGGTGAGCGCCTTCGCGCGCCTAGCCTACATGCACTTGTCACTGTCAATATCCATGAACTGTCTTCTTAGTATGTACCCATGGTTAGTATGTTCATGACAATACTCTACCCATCAAACTTTCATGCTCCAATATCCATTTTATAAATTTCTTAATTGTTTTTATAAGGTGAGCGCCTTAGCGCGCCTAGCCTATATGCACTTGTCACTGTCAATGTCGCCTCCAAGCGCCTCTCGCCATTTTAAACTGAGGTATACACTAGAGCTATTCTAGTTATAAATACATACTTTTTTTCCGGCATACTAAATTTATTAAGAAACTAGAATATTACAGCACTTGTCAAATACAATATGTAGAGTTTTGGCCCATACATAACAAACATCTATAACCACTTTATAACATAGGAACTAGATCTCTGTCTTGCTTTTTTGCTAAGGCATCCGCTGTTGTATTTTGCTCTCTTGGAATGTCCTGAAATTCATAGGAAGAACTAGTTCCTACGAAAGTGAGAATATCACCTGTATAAGCACTTAACTCATTTGAATAGCTTTTTGTATGAACTTGGGTCTTTTGTAACTTATGGAGCTGAGTGTAGAGTACCTTACAATCACCCATAAATCGAATTTTCATGAAGCCTAACTTTTTTAGTTGCAGTACCGCTTCCTTTAGTGCCAAGGCTTCAGTTTCTTGAGGACTGGCTATTGGATCAATAGAAGCCGAACCTTGTAGTATAGGATGACCATAATTACTCTGAAGAATCCATGCAATACCTGCTCTTTCCTTATCATTGACCCATGAACCATCTACAAAACAAAGATGATGATTAGTGGATTGGCTTTTCTCTCTGCTATTCTCTCTGCCTCCTATGTGGGTACTATTATTCATATTATCTCCTGAACTTATGGCTTCTTTCCAGAGCTTAAGATCAATTAATGCCCTATGGATGAGCAAAGGGATAGACCATCTTTTATTTTTAAAGAGCAAATCATTCCTCATATTCCATATTTTCGAACCAATAAAGAGGAATAATGGCGATTTCTCATGTTTATTCAGTGCCAACCATTCCCTAATATTTTGATGAAGAGAATTATTAAGTAGGGTATCACCTGAAGGATTTTGAATAGGTGATAGACTCCATATCTCTCTTGATATTCTGCATTGAAAAAGGAGATGGTTGATAGTTTCTATATTCTCACCACAGAATAAACATTGTTGATCTACCTTGATTTTTCTTTTCAAAAGTGTTTCAGCTACTGGAAGTCCATTATGAATAACTTTCCACCAGAAGATCTTTAGCTTTGGAGGTAAGGAGAGATTCCACAACTTTTGGTAGAGATCACGACTCTCTGAGTGATGGAGATCTAAGTTGCTTATCTCATGATGCTGCCTTGGTAAATTAAAGCCTGACTTAACTGAATATTCACCATCTTTGGTGTAGCTTCTTAATTAATGGAATATCTTCCTGACAGACAAATTGTTGAAGTTTTGATTCGTCCCAGATTGTAGTACATGGGATAAATAGTTGAGACACTGTTAAGTCATTTTGTGAGTAAACATTTGATTGCAATGCAGGAGTAGGTGGGTTTCTTGGAAGCCACTTATCTTTCCAGACACAAATTTGATTTCCATTGCCTACAACCCATCTTATTTCCTGCATTAAAAGTACATTACCTGCCAGTATGCTTCGCCATGTTTGACTGGGTCTGGCTCCAGGAGTTGCTTTCATAAAAGGTATTTTGGAAAGTATTTAGCTTTATATACTCTAGACATCAGAGATTGTGGATATTGGAGAAGGCGCCAGCTCTGTTTTGCAAGAAGAGCTGTATTAAAATCCTCTAAATTTCTGATTCCAAGGAGGATCTCCTGTCTTCTTAGGATTTGTAATTTTATTCCATGCTATCCAAAAAATCTTGTATTTTTCTTTATCTGATGACCACCAGAATCTTCTAATTGCTGCATTCATTTGATTAGTTAGTTTTTGAGGGAGCAAGAAGCAAGACATACAGTAAGTAGGCAGGGTGGTAACTACTGATTTGATTAAAAAATACATACATTATCCCATAACACTTCTTTATTTTAAAAAATACTTGTTCGAGACTGAAAAATAATAAACCGAGACTGAAAAATATATTTTTAAAAACATAAATTTTGAAAAATAATAAACCGAGACTGAAAAATATTGATGATTAACGAGATGTTAAACCCGTGATTAACGGCCCATCTCTGATCTATACTTATCATTGCCAACATATTTCTTACTCTTAGGGAAAGTAGCTAATTATTTTAGGGAAACACACATGAAATCCTACAATCTCTTTTTGTTTTGTTCTAAAAAATTGGCAGAGTAAACATAAAAGTTGGAGCAAAAAAGAACGTTTAAACACGTCTTACATAAAATAAAATATTATGAATTCGAAATTTAGTGTCTCAACACAAACAAGTAGAAAGATATATGAACACATGAAACTCTTCTTTTGGTTTATGCCCATCAACAAAATCATTTATTCAAACGAAGTCCAACACAATTAAACAAGGAAAAATCGATTTCTAATTTATTCCATCCTTTGTTGTAAAAGAAAAAAGAAGGGGCTTTCACTAATCACTTGAAAACCCAAGTGATTTAGTTTTCTTTTTCCAAACCTTCTTTTAGCCGGAGAGAGCTGCGTTGATAGCACTGTGAACCTCAACACCAATCTGCGCCTCTGCTTTCTCAAGATCTGTTGCCGCAGAAGCAAGTTTCTGTGTGAACTCAGCTAAACCCTTTTGGACTTGGCTAGGGTCAATGTTTTCAAGCGGCACAGCTTCAATCGCGATGATGTCAGCGACAGAATTTGCGTGGAGGAATGCGAAACCACTGCTCACGAAGTACTTCTTCACGTCAGTGCCTTCATGAACGGACATGATACCTGGTTTCAACTCAGCGATTGTTGGAACGTGTCCTGGCAAAACACCCATTTGTCCTGTTGTTGCGGGAATGATCACCATGTCGACCTTCAAGTAGGTAAAGAGAAACCAATAAAGCTTTGAGTTAGGACTATACACAGAAATGACACCAGTTACGAAGTACGAGTTAGTTTTAAAGAAAAAGACGGTGATGATATATTAATCTGCAAAGAAAATAGCTTTTGATGCATTCTCGTGAGCATATACCACAGCGAATGCACTATCTACAGCATACTAGTAAACTACGAGAATCTGAGTGCTATACGATATAACAGTTACTAGATTATTGGTGCCCATGGAGATGAAGTCATGAAGATTATGAAATTATAACCAACATTAGGTCTACATGTATACCACATCATACATCAGCAGAAGAGAGAAGATATTACATAAACCGATTAACATATATTAAAAGTCAGCACTTAGGTTTCGTCATTATCATAAAGGAATAACACTGGCCATCAATCTCGCCATTTCAAGATATATAAATAGCCCATATATTAAACACACGGAATATTTGCCATTAACATTTGTGTGGGAAACCATACAAGCCAGAAGAAGACTAAAATTGAGATAATTTCTATGCACAGAGATAACAAACCTCTTTTAAGAGTTGTAATGCAAGATCAACAAAGAATCTAGAGGTCGTGGATTAATCAACTAGTCTCAACATTTCAGTGATGAATCTAACAAGCAACATTATTAATCACTTACAGTGCCACGTTTTTTAAGACATTCAGAAACTAAAAAATCAGCACTTGTGCTACTCTCAGGTTTCGCCATCCAAACCCTAAAACTTAGCGCCGTCAGATCTAGCCAAAACCAAAGGTCCTAAGACCTAATCAAGCACATTTTCATTTCTTATCATGGATCAAATACCAGCGCTAATCTCTTATTTTTTTGGGAACAAATCCGAAATGCTGTTTGAGACTTTCCACAAATCCGCAGATGAATCACCAATCAAAAGTCACATATAATACAATATCCAGATGTTACCACGCGAGAGATACCAGGAACAAACCACAGATCGAACTCTAGATGAAAAATGGAAACGACGATCGAAGAATATGAAAACCGACCTCTTTACCGGAAAGCTCAGATGCGTATGGGAGGACGAAATTGACGGTGAGCTTCGTCGGAATCGAAGACGCAGTCGAAGGACGTGCTTTCATGAAGGAAGAAGGAGTCTGCGGTGGGTCCATGTTCGGTGCGACTTTCTTCCATGCCTCGACGAAAGTCGAATCGATCGTCGACGGAAGTTCCGTTGAAAAGGCACGAGATGTCGCCGATTTCGAGGATGCGGCGGCCACAGATCGGGAGAGGAGGCGAGAAGCTTGTCTGAACATGGCGGCGATTTGGTGGTGGTGATGAGTCTCGGGAAATTGGGAATGCGTCGCAGAGGAATGAGAGAAGATAGAGAGTCAATAGCGAATCCGCACTCTTAAAAATGCTTGAAAGCTCAGGTGTTCACCATGTTTAAGATAGTTCGCTATTTTTTATGTTTCAGACCCACATCAGCTAGGTAAGATATACTCTTAAGTAATTAAGCCCATTCATGGCCCATCCAACTATTGTCCTATAACAGAAATATGACATACAAAAGACTGTCAGATTTTGGATTTTAGTTCAGTTTATGTTTAGCATTTCAAGTTCTTCGGTTTTTGGTAAAAATTCTGACAAGATTAAAACTGAATGTAAAATAGATCGAGGATGTGATGCTAATTCTTTCCAAAGAATTACAATTTTGTTCCACTTTTCAGATTTAGAGGAAGCTATTGGGAGATGGACTTAAAAAAAAACTAAAATTTTAAAATTGCATTGTTATTGGTTTATGAATTCTTACAATCTTACAAAAATTCATTGTTATTGGTTTGATGACTTTTAAATTCCATACAAAAATTATTGTTATTCAAAAAGTTTGTATTTTAATGATTTCATTAATCCATTAAATCCTTTTTACTGGTATATGGATTTTAAACAATTTAACTCATGAAACAAAAAAATTTATAATACTATCTTTAACCCTTAGATTTTTCAAAATCATGATAGTAAAATATTTGGATAAATTTCTTAAATATACAAACTCTCTGAAAATCTACCAATAACTCTTTATAGATTTAACAATTCTATCAACTTTTAAAATTTTGCAACTCTATGTAAATTCATTTCCCAATAATCCCCCCCCCCACATTAAGTGGGTGTTATTGGACGTTGTATTTGAAATGAACTGAAATCCAATTACAATTCAGTGTTATTTAATTAATGATTCTAAATTATGTTTTTAAATCATGTGTTATTCGATACTCCCTCTGTTTCAAAATATAAGGGGTTTTAGAGTCTTAGTTTTTGTTTCAAAAGATAAGGGGTTTTAGAGTTTTAATGTAAAACTAAATGTGTTTTTATTACTTTAGATTATTTATATTCTGAAAATTTGTTATTCATTGGTTAAAATGTTTTAGAATTGATCATAAAATATTTTTTATTTCAAAAAGTACAAAAATTAAATGGCTTCTTAATTTGTGTGCAAAAACCTTAAACCCCATATATTATGAAACAGAGGGAGTATTTTATTTGTAATCTGTCATTAAAGATTTTCAAATCTAGTGTTACTCAATCAAGACTTTAAATTCAGTGTTATTCAAAACTATATGATTTTTAAAATCTTTATATTTATTGATTCATTTGAAATGAATTCTAATGGAGTTCAATGAGTAAATTATTAAAAATAGAACCTATAAGATACTACAAAGATTTTAGAATCAAATGATATGGATTCTTTAAAATAAGAACAAAAAAAAACAAATCATATTAGTATTTGCAAATCAATTTTCGTGAATGGAGCCACCACGTTAACTCTCAGCCGCGGAATTACCAAGATGCCCTTAATGAAAATCTATTATTAAATTTTCTGAATTTTCTTTTTTAATTATTTCAAATTTCATTTTTTATATAAAAGTTCATTATTTCCTTATTAATTTCCTTATTACCAAGATGCCCTTAATGAAAATCTATTATTAAATCTTCTGAATTTCTTTTTTAATTATTTCACAATTTCGTTTTTTATATAAAAGTTCATTATTTCCTTATTAATTTCCTTATTAAATATTGATAATTATCCTTTTCTTTTTTCCTCGATTTATATTTATCACTTAAATAAATATCCTAACTATCATATTACCGCACCACTTTTCTGGAAGAAATCAAATAATTAGGTATTTTAAAAAAACTCTAGATTTTACAACCGACTTAGTCCTATTTAACAAGCAAAATAAACAGAATTTCGTTTCTTCTTTTTCGTGTTCTAAATTCTTCGATTCCATATTTCATCTTTTGTCATGTAGGTTTATAGTTATTGCTAGATCTTAGTTGTATTAGATCTAATGTTTAACTGATTATTCGTTATTTTCTGGAAATTTTATTCAAAGAATCGCATCTAACTTCTACTTCTTTTACCTTTATAACAGTAAATTCCAGGTTTGTTAGCTAATTGAGTCAAAGAAATCAACTATGGTACCAACTCAAAAAAAATGCATTGACAAAAATTAGTGGTATGTACATCTTTCGTTTTTATTTTCAACTTAAATCTTATGAAACCCTAATTTGAATAAACTTATCTAAAAAGATTTTGTAAAATGTGGGTTTAGGTGTGCGGATTGGGGGGGAGGGGGTTGTTATTTGGTAGTGGTGTTACAATGTGGGGTTTGGGTTATTTAGGGGGTGGTGTTACACTGTGGGTTTGGGTTTAGGGTGTAGGGTTTATATTGATGGGGTAGGGTTTAGTTTTTGGTGTATTTTAAAAAAACTTGAATTATTACAGAAGAATTTCATAATAAAAAAATCATTTATTTGAAATTTATATCTACTTTCAAAATTACATTCACAAATAGAAAAAAAAACTAAAACAACTAAAGAAAATCCAGAATTGAAAGATAACAAAACTAATAAATTTTTAAAAGACCTCAACTATATAAAGATAGAATCTATTTCAAAAATATTGAAAATTTTAACTATCGAAATGAATTGGTAGGTGATATGCAAGACACAAACAAGACATAATAGATACATAAGTAAAAGAAAAGAAAACAGTGAAAAAGAAGATGAAAAATTTAGAAAAGAAAAAGAAAAGTCGAACATGAGGAAAAAGAAAGGAAAGAAGAAATAATGGAATGTGAAGAAAATTCCAAAACAAATGAAGAATATTACGTAGAAGAACAAGAAAGAGAAGATAAAAATAAGACACCTCAAGATTACAAAAATAAGAAGTTTGCGAAAACAAAAACGATGAATACAATAAAAAGTTGTACTACTTATATTATTTAAATCTTTAATTAATAATTGTATTTAAAAAATATTGTACCCGCACAAGGTGCGGGACAACCACCTTGTCTAAAATATTATAAAACCTAGATAATTGATTTCAAATACATAATTGAATAACACACCCTTCAATTGTTTTGTTAAGAAAAAATAAGTAAAAACTGAATGTAATATAGATCGATATAGTGCGTTCAGTTTTTTTTTTTTTTTTTTTTTTTTTTTTTTTTAACGTCTAGTGAGTTCAGTTTCTAATCAAATGAAAATTCGGTTAGCTCACTCAACTGTGCTCTCAATTTTTATGTTGACGAAAAACTTTAACCATTACATAAATCACACTCTCTTTAATTCTAAAACCCTACCATTTCATCCAGAAAAACCCTAATTTTACACCAGACACAATAATCAGATGTGTTGTAGAGAACTAACTACCTAACACTTTGAAGAAACTTGTACTTCTTTTAACATATTTACATGAAGAAAAAGAAGAAGAAAAAAATGATATACCCCATTGCATCTTCCTCAAGCAAACTCATCAATGAAAAGTTTCCTTTTTCGCTCTCACTTAACATAGACGACCTCCAACCCTATTAATACTTATTTAAACTTCTGAAGGGGAGTTTTCTGCAAAAGAGACAAGAGCCGCCACCGTAGAAACATCAGAGACGATTTCTTTCATTTTGATTCATTTTTCTGCACTCTTTGGATTTAAGAGCTTCAAGGAGAAAATCTCGCCTTTGTATCACCATATAGAGAAGATTTCTAGACTCTTTTATTTCTTATTGAATCTATTGATTATAATCCCTCTTCATCATCTCTTTGCTTGTCATTCATGATTATGTGTGAGCAGTTCACTTGCTAGGCTAAACTTTTATCATTCGAATTGGGATTATCGATTGGATTCTTCATCTTTACTTGTGCATATTGCCGCTTGCTTTTCTGATCAACTAGTATCGGATCTTGGGTTAATATACTCTCTAAAAGCTTGCTATATTGTTAAAACTAGCATTTGATGAGCAATACCTCGTAACCATCAAAAATTGAGTCTCTGAGTATTGTGAGCAATGAAATCTTAATGCATATTTTCAGCTTGTAATAACCTTTGAAAGTTGAGTCTATTAGATTGTTAAAACATAGTGGTTGGAGCCACGAAAGTGGGAAAACCATATTGTAGTGATTTGAGTTCAAGAACGGTTTTTTTTATCCCTTTCTCTTGATTATTCGTTTATGATTTATGAATCTCTGCAATTTACCTAATGCCTAGTACTGTTTTCTCTTATTGAAGTTGCATTGCCTTTTCATTTTATTTACAGTATTATCTCTCTGAAAAACCAAAACCACAATCATATTTTGTTTAAGCTTTATTCGACTGTCATAGCTTGTACTACATCTGATAGGTCTCTGTGGATCGATCTCAATCTATACTTACCTCGTTGTTGTGCATTTGCAGGTATTTAAGTTGGGCTATTACTTGATACAAACCCACACACATCAGAAACAAAGGAAACATGTTTCTGTTTTGCAAGGGTACAAATGGCACAATAAAAAGAGCTTTTATTCCTTTTGTTTTAAACCAAGTACATTTGTAACGAAATCAGTTTTGCTTACATATGGATGTCATAGTCTACTCTACTATGCCATAGGGCAGAATCAACAACGACATTAGCACAAATTGGAGACTCTTGTGTAAGCGATTCCTCAATAGCAGTAGTATCTAGGACATAGAGGTTTGAGATCTGTTCACCCTTTCCAAACATCAACCCCTTGGTAGGATCGTGTATCATGCAAGAATCTTCATCAAACAAGACACAATAGTGTAAATCCTTTTTCCAACTGGCTGACACTTACAAGTTTGAAAGTCTGGTACTTAGCGGATATTATCTATCACTCAGCCTGATTCTGCCTATACCAGTGATTCTCGCTCCTAAACAAGTAGGTAGAGTAACAGAGGAGTTGAAAGATTCAGACAAATGCTCAAAGAGTTTCCTATCATGTGCAACCTGATGTGTGGCTCCACTGTCTACTATCCATGATCAGAGGATAAAACGTTTTTCGTTGTTCTCAAAATGCATCAATGAAGCGTAGAATAGAGTTAGAAAAAACCATAGCAGGTAAGGCATTAATTGTGCTACCAGAAGTAGAAGTCACAATGATGTTTTGAGTATTTGTAGGCTGTAATTGCGAGTTGAATTGAAGTAAGCAATAACGCCTTGTATTTGATCTTTAGAGAGACTGGTGAGCATGGTGGAGAAAGAATCGTTTTCTGCAGTTGGAGTGTTCAGAGAAAGATGAGCCACCACTGGTTTAGAATATCCAGATGGTTTGGTTGTTGTTTGAAACCCGTTGGATAACCGTGGATTTTGACCACTGTATGTATCTGGAATGTGTGCAAACAGGACAAGGTTTGTTGTAGTGTAACTAAGAAGCATTGACAAAAGCTTGCATAGGAGTAGGTGCAGAGATCTGAAAAGCTGTAGCATTTTTTGACAAAGATTTTAAAATAACTAATCCAATAAGGGGGGATTTTAACTTTGATTTGTAAATCCACTAAAATCCATGATTCAATAAATCCCCCTTAGTCACTGGAATGAGATTTCTCTGACTATGATCTTAATCGAGTAAGTTGTAGATCTCAGAAAGGCCATGAACATGTTTCTTTATGAAAATTCGGCTTCTAATGACGGCATATGAATCATTCAAGCCAGCAAAAAAAAATGAATCACTTTAGCATGTTCTGCCTTAGTATTTATAGATCTGCAACAGGACAAGTGTCGACGCAATCTGCACTGTCAAGTTCGTCCCAAAGAGTCTTCAATGCAGTATAATATGTAGCCAAATCCATTGATCCTTGCTGGAGTGACCATATTTGTTGAGACAATTGACATTATCTTGGAAGATTTGTGATATGAAATCTAGCCATCAAATATTTCCACATCTCAGATGCATCATTGTTAACGTAGTATACTCTTGTAATTCTGCTTAGAAACTGAATCTAAAAGCAAAGATTTAACCATTGAGCTACACCTAGACCATAAAGTTTCAATGCGATTCGCTTGGACGAGCAACATACCCATCAATGAAAGCAAGTTTATTCTTATATTTTATTATATAAAGCTGGATGCGCGCGACGTGGTTGCGACACGTAGGATTTTTATAAAATTTAGGATTGCGACATGTGTCACTTTTAATGTTATGTCCGTTAAGATCGTGACATGTGTCTTAGAAAAAAAGAAAAAAATAATAATTAAAAAAAATTAGATAAAGGAAAAAAAAACGAAATTTTAATCTTTTATAGTTAAAAGAAAAAAAAATTATATTGTCATATCCTAATAGAAAAAGGTTTCTCATTCATCAAATTTATATTATCCAAACACATATAAGATTCAAATTAATGAAATAAATAAAATCCTATTAGTACATGAAATAGGTTAGGTTTAGTTAATCTTTTATAGTTAAAAGAAAAAAAAATTATATTTGTCATATCCTAATAGAAAAAGGTTTCTCATTCATCAAATTTATATTATCCAAACACATATAAGATTCAAATTAATGAAATAAATAAAATCCTATTAGTACATGAAATAGGTTAGGTAAACTAAATTTCCTATAACTGCATGGAATAAGTTACATGAACCCCTATAAAAAGAGAGTTAAAGTAGTCTTTTTTTTCTCATTCACAAACTCATCAAAGCAAACAACATGATAGCAATACGTATGATTTTTATAACTCACAAAATTGCGATATGTGTAATAAAATAATGATAATAAAAAACTAACTAATAATGAAAATGAAAATTTATAATGGTCTGAGTCAAAAACAAAATTGAGAAAGAAACAATATAAATAGAAAACTAACAAATTAATTATCAAGCAACTAACTAATATTAAGAAAATATAATGAACCGATATTCTAATTTTAAATAGTTTAATATATTTTCAATATTGTTAGGTAAAAAATTATTAAATAAAGATTTCATCAATTGAAATCTCTTGAATGGAATAATAAAGTTTTGTTGAATTAATTAATCAGTTGATCATATTTAGACATATATAAGTCTTTCTATATTGGATAAAAATAAAAATAAAACAAATTAATTCATTTTTTATATCATGAATTCAAAAAAATATCAATTACAATAAAAACGTAAAAAGGTTACCGATCTTATTTTATTTAAATATTTTTATCGGGTTTTTAATATTATTCTGTTTACTTTAAAATGATCAAATTTGGTTTAATATTTTTCCATGATTTTATTACAAAATCTTAAAATAAACCCGCGTATACGCGGGTCTTAATCTAGTATAAATATATAATGCAATCTTCAATGCTAAAGTCCAATTATCATAACTCGAACTATGGAGTACCTCGGATATGAGTGAAAGACGAGGATTTTCTCCGCTAGTTAGATAGTATGGTGAATGTATCCTATGAAAGCTACGAGAGTAACAGAGTCGTCGGAGCTTCAGTTGATGGAGATTCTGGAAAATTTGGTGAAGAAGCTTCAGGAATAGAAGCTCTTTGTGCGAACTATGTGGATTTTCCGGCGAGGATTTGCGAAGAACCACCATTGTTGAAGATTATCCGAGAAATTTGTGATTTTCGGTGGAATAGCCGAGAAATCAATCACAGATTTGATAGAAATGAATTTGTCGGGAGAATCACCGAAGAACTTGAGGTCAAAACGAAAGAGAGAAGGAATAAAACGGAAGGATCACGTGAGAAAGAGTAAATGGTCAAAATTTTCATATCATTCTGCAAATGGTCAAATACACAACTTTTAACAATCAACACAAGTCTCAAAAGGCTCTAAGATCATAATAGTTTTCCTAAACACACAAATGGGAATTAATCCAGTTTATCTTCCATAGGAAAAGCCATTTGCTATGATTTGTCTACGAAAACGTTTCATTTATTGTCCCTGTAATAAGAGAACGCAAGAAGTAGATTGTGAGGAAAAGCTTTTAACAACGATGAACATCTGACATCAATTAAAGAGTGGCTTTGCTTACCTCTTGACAAATGAATCATCTTCAGTGTTTATCACAATCTTTTCACCTGCCTCGAGATAAGATGGTACCTGAAGAATCAACAGTTATTATGGTAGTTAGACCAATCAGACTAGTTCTTGATCGCGGTAAGATTGACGGTTAAAGAAATTGAACTTACCTGAATAGTTGAGCCATTATCAAGAAGAGCTCTCTTGTAGCTGAAATATAAAGAAACAGAGCGTTTTCACATAACTTATGTAAGACGGATTCACGATGTTGAGGCAACCAAATTGGTACATGTGTGAAACCATAATATGTCAAGAGGAATATGCCGAAAAGGTAAGAAAAAGACATACCGAGGAGCTGATGTTAAGCCTTTCATGGGAAGTTGTGTTTCTTCAATTGTGCATGTGACATGCTTAGGCAGAAATGCAGCTAAAGCTCTTCCATCATACAGCTGCAACTGAACTTTCATTTCCTCTGTCAAAACACAATAATACATATCAAGGAGAAGGCAAAAAATAAACAGATACGATAGCGATTATATAACATGTCATGCCATGCAAATGGTTTCTACTTTCTAGCAAGAGAATCAAAAACACTACAAATGTTCATCATCGTGCTATAACAACCTTTTAAATATACAGACGCTTTGCCAAATATGTCCAATGGCACTTCAACTTGCTCAAACGTATCGGGCCTGTTGGATGGGATATACGTATTAATAAGAATGAGATGTTTTACAAAACTCATGGTCCTGCCGAATGTATAAAGTCTATGAAACAGGTAAGGAGATTGCACAAAAATAAGGGACTCACTCGATCAGAAATGCAGTATCTCCCTCTGTATATAAACATGTGTAAGATTTCTCATGAACAAAAACCTCTGCAGTAAATTGATGATGCAATCAATATATCACACCAATATAAATTGATATAATTACGCTAAGCTTTGAAAGTTATGAAATAAGCAAACATACTTTCAACCGATTCCTCAGTTCCAAATCGCAAATTCAGTTTATTCCCGTTGTCAACATCGCGAAGCTCTACCTGTTTCCCGCAAAAGAATAGTCTTTAAGGCCAAGAAACAGAAGAGACAGTGCAGGTGACACGGAACATTAAACAGCTGATAAACTAGAACAAGTCAAGTACCAAAGGCTTATTAACAAAATCACCACCAAATCAGTTTAACAGGTTCAACGTAATCTGTTTCTGCATTCCTAAGTTGGTGCACTCTAAAAATTAGTGAAGACTAGAGAGTTTCAAATACATGTAGTACCTGTATGGAGGCTCCACCTCTACCTTGTTGTTTATGCTCTGCTTCTACAACCTACAAGATGAAGAAATAAATTTCATATTGGGTGGAACTTAAATGGCTAAAGATATGAAAAGCAATATTCAAATGACTAACCCGGAAAGTACGTCCTGAAGGTTCAAGGTCCATCAGATTGAGTTAAATGAAATCATATATTATCCATAAATGGAGAAAACCCTTACAAAACCAACCTGTTCGTTCAATAACATTCCCTGGCCTTAGCTGAATAGAAAGATAATAAAAAAAGTCAGTGAAAACTTTCATTTATCCAACAAAAAATGCCAAATACATCAATTTTTAGAATTTCCACAATCTGATTCCAAGGTTAACGAGAAAGAAGACGAGCAATTAATCAAATGAGTCGGAATTTACCTGAATCGCGTTAACCTTAACGCCGCGGCGCTGAATGGCAGACCACAGTGAATCAAGCGGAGACGTTTCTCGGCCGGCTGTGATGCCTTGACGAGCCTGCGATAATATGGACCGGCTCAAAGAATACAGTGATCTAGTCGCTATCCCTCGCATCTCGGTCTTTAAAACCTAATTTGACAAGAAATCTTTCTTTTAAAATCTCTCATCTATGATCATATCGAATTATATACAAAACAAATGAATGCTTGTTTCCTTCAACTCAGAGTTTCTGAACACTATACGATATAATAATGAACAGATTACTAGTGCCCATGGAGATGAAGTCATGATGAAATTATTACCGAAATTAAGTCTTAACATCTCAGTGATGAATCTAACAAGCAACATTTTTAATCGCTAACAGGTGTAACCTTTTTTCGCGCAAATCTTCATTACTAATAACTCTGGAAAGACATTCAGAAACTAAAAAAGATAAGCACTAGTGCTACTTACTCTCAGGTTTCGTCATCAAAACCCTAAAACTTAGCGCCGTCAGATCAAGCCAAAATCAAAGGACCTAAGACCAAATTAAGCACATTTTCAATTTCACACCTTATCATGGACCAAATACTACCTTTAAATTTTTGAACAAATCCGAAATGCTGTTCGAGACTTTCCACAAATCCGCAGATGAATCACCAATCAAAAGTCACATAGAATCCAATATCCAGATGTAACCACACAAGACATACCAGGAACAAATCACAGATCGAACTCCAAATGAAAAATGGAAACGACGATCGAAGAATATGAAAACCGACCTCTTTCCCGGAAAGCTCAGATGCGTATGGGAGGACAAAATTGACGGTGAGCTTCGTCGGAATCGAAGACGCAGTCCAAGTTCGGTGCGACTTTCTGATACGATTCAATGTAGGCATTGGGCCTTTGTTGGGCTTTGTTATTTGATTAACTCTAGTAGCCCATTTAGTTGTAATATCACGTTGTTGATCAATAGTGTTTTGTGAAAAAAAAAAACAAGTCGAATCGATCGTCGACGGAAGTTCCGTTGAAAAGGCACGAGACGTCGCCGATTTTGAGGATGCGGCGGCAACAGTCGGGAGAGGAGGCGACAAGCTTGTCAGAACATGGAGGCGATTTGGTGTTCATGAGCTTCGGGAAATTGGTAAAGCGTCGCATTGGAGAGAGAGAGAGAGAGAGGAGAGATTCAGTTTTTAATTAATTATGTTATTCTTTCAAAAAAGTTTAACAGTTGTTCTGATTTAAGGCTTAGATTGTTCTGTTTAAAACATTGTTACAATTTTTTTTTGAATGTAACATAGATCTATATAGCGAGTTCCAGTTTCTAGTCAAACAAATCAAGTTAATGTAATCAAATGAAAATTCGGTTAGGTCTCTACAGTCTCCACAGTGTTCTCCAATTTTTAGGTTGTCGCAAAACTTTAAACATTACATTAAATCACACTCTAGTTTCTAGAAACTACCATTTCATATGGCAAAACCCTAAATTTACACCAGAAACAATAACCAGATGTGTTCTACAGAACTGTTTAAACACCTAAGACATTGAAAAACTTGTACTTCTTTTAACAGATTTACATGAAGAAAAAGATATACCTCTGCTCGTCTTTCTTTATAATGTCGTTGCTCTGTCCTCGGATAGTCGGTCAAGCTCCAGATTCATATGCCCAGAAAGTATCTGGATCGGGACAAAGAAGAGAAAAGTCTGGTACTTCGAGATTTGCAACGTGCCAATCAAGAAACCGAGCTTGTATCGACTTGAGCAACAAGAGGACTGTTGGTAATACCCACCACTTATCATCATCTCTGCCAAAAAACATAACAAAAGTTTGAGATAGTAAGTAAATATGGATGAAGAGTGAACTGATGACAATATGGATGCTAGATTAATGGCAGGTTTTGCGTGTATTCTTTGAGTGGGTGATTCTAAAAGAAGAACAAAAACACTGCTTATTATTATTGTTATTACCTTATGGCGTTCCAGATGTTCGTTTTATCATCTGACTTGTCAGAGAAAAACCCGGAATGAATGACACCGCAAACGAAAGCCACAATCTGAAAAATACTTGAGGGAATAAGAAAGAGACAATAGAGAGAAAACGAGGTTACTTGGTTTCGAAATACATGTATCAACTTACGACGTTTGTAAGAGATGTAGCGTTCCAAAGGGCGTAGATACGAGTAAGCGAGGCCCTTCTCATTTCTTTACTTAATAAAGCGTTAAGTCCGGCAGGGAATGGGCAAAGCAGTGAGAGAGGGAGAATCAGGAGGATAGCGAGAAAGGCTGCAATGGCAAGCCAATAAAACTGAAGCAATGCAAGAAGCGTAACTGAAAGATCCGCAAGAAGAAGGATGGAGATCAAACGCACTAGAGTATCCTGCACATGTATATTTCGCTTATGTTAACACATAGACAAAACGAAACTCAGACGTAAGAGTGAGAGAAGAAATGTAACCTGACGACCAACGGGTCGGGTGTTGTTCAATAAGAGAGAAAAAGGAAACAGTATATCCCTCCTGTACTGTAGAGATTCTAGTGAAATCTCATTGATGAGGCCTCCATTGATTCCACCATTGATTCTCTTCCGAGATAATCCATGTCCTGGTTGGATCAAGTTTTGTTGCAACTCTATAAGAGATTTGCTCGGACCTGCAGAGCTGTTCCTAGAAAATGAAGCATGTTGAGTGTCTTTAAAGTCTCGGAGAAGTGATTAGATCAAAGAGAAGCACAAAATCTTATCATGGCTCACCGAGGGGACTCTTCGTCACTTCTGCTGAATGAAACTGATTGGTTCACAGAGTTCAGAGGAAAATCGCCAACAAAAACCAGGATACCAAGTTGGTAATATCCAGAAGCTGTAGCTTGAAACCATCCAAGTTCAATTCTCACTCCGTGAAATTCGAGCTGAGGATTTCCATGGCTGTTCATCCACCTAATGACAGGGAGTAACGCTGAACGAATCGATCCGTGCCTCACAGTCCTGAGCTGCGCATTTAAACCCGCAACAAAGCGGTGCCAAACACTTGGTGGGATGTGCTGAAACAGTGATTTGGAGCATTTAGGTGATTCAGAGTAGAGATTTTGGAAGGGATAAAATATTGAGAGATTAAGCTAACCTGGCCAAGAAGATTAGTTAACAGTGCGTCACTATGAAGACTATACGGTGACATATAACTTCCATCTCCACCAAAAAGTATGCACATTGGAAATCTTTTCTGTATTATAGAGACCATATCTACACGCTTCTCATCACCGCCAAGAAAAAAATCTACATATGCAACCATCAGATCTGGTGTGGCTCCAACCTGTTTCGATGTTGGACAGACAGTCAAATTTGGAAGTAAAAGCTAGTTGATTGTGAAGCAACAAGTCTAACATCAGGTAATAAGAATCCAAACCTTCATGCCTTTGTATAGAGCTCTAGATCTGCATGAGCGGAGGCAAGAGTGGTCATATTGAGATTTTACATATTCCTGAAGGCGATGAATCTTTCTCCTGCGACGCCATTGCTTCCACGACCAGGCGCACGGATTTGCGAGTACTGATAGAATGCTGTGCACAGACCCTTCCCACCAATCATATGCCGCGGTAGAGTTGATCTCATCAATAAATCTGTTAAAAGCATCCTCGTACCTGCATATCAGAAATGTACAGAACCATGAGTGGGCATGCCTTGGAATAAAATGAGCAAAGGTCAATGTCATATTGGTCAGCAAAGGTTAATGACATCCATAATCACTACTTCAAGAAAATGGTAAAGTGAAAAGACATACTTGTACAAAAGAGATTGTAACTAAAGTTTTCTTATGCTTGCCAATATTCAAACATTCAATGGGATCCAATCGCAAAATTGACCCAGTCAAGTTATATCCTTACACTATCTCGATGATTGCATCAGGAGGAGAGTAAGGCAGATGCCATGGTTCCCTGAAAGTGTTTGGACCCATAAAGTACATACGGTAGGCATGGGTTTGCGTATCATCAGATTTTGCGCCTCGAACCTAGAATGACAAAAAAAAATAGGCCAGAAAGTTTGGTTAGAAAAAAACTGGATCCTTAATGTCTTGCAAAAAGGGAAGATTTGGGACAAGAAAATTTCCGCAACACTATACCTCAGAGAGTGACAGAAGATGGGGTAAACAATGAGAACTCTGGTTTTCGATGGAATTGGAACCATAGAAACTTAATATGAGCAGTCTACTACTTAATGTGCTTAGCAACAGACCCAAAACTACCACCGCACAAGATAGTAGAAGAGCAAAGGGCAATGGCCCTCCAAATGTATAAACAAGCTCTTCCAAAGGTGTATAGCAGTTTGGCAGTCTGTACTTGTCAGATACACATTTGTAAGGACAAAAAGGTTCGCTAACTCCTCCTGCAGATTCAAAAAGCTCCTTCCGTCAGAAGACATCCCAATTAAGAAGAAACACAAGATCAGGGGACGGAAGAACAAGAGAACTGTATGATACAATACCTCGCACGTATACAAATTTTGCACGACTTGGAAGACTCTCGGGAGGGCAGGGTGTACAAAGACTTTTGTCAGAGCCTTCAACATTTTTGTAAGTGCCAATGGGGCATTCCTGAAACAACACATGAATCCAGAAATATTGAGAAGTAGCAGGCACAAGCAAACGGGGCAGAGATTTGCATTTATGCTAAAAGATCACTACTGGGCTTGTCTAATTTCGTGATTTGTTACACCCATTTTGATTCTGAGAAGAAGGATAAGCAACAATGGTAAAAAGCTAAGACATAAATGGCCGGTGTAGATGTAACTACGACGTAATAAACATTAGACTTACCAAGCAAAATGTACCATAGAGCCCCTTTGGACACATTTTTCCAGTCATTGTTCCCTTTTCTCCAAAACGACCTCCATGGTCCCCTGCACCTCCGCTGAAGACATCAGAAAACAAACAATTAAAGATACGTTTTGCAGATTAACAACTTTTATGTTAGATTTCAAAGAATTTCAAGATCCGCTCCAAAATTTGCATTAAAAAAAATAGTACTGGCATAGTTTCAAGCATTGAAACTAAGATCCCACTGTCCTCTCATAACCCTGGCAATGCAAGTACTAGCAATCAACGCATATATGCATGCTATTAAATACAAATGACCCACAAAGTTGTAACCATGCAGTCATGACAATTGTGCGTACCTATTACTAATGGACCCCTTAATGGTTGCAACAGGAGAATACTCGTCACCAGTGTGTAACATGTCCCAGTGAAAGTGAAGTCTCCCACCTCCACCCCCTCCACCACCGAGAGGCCCACCCCGGCCCCCTTGAACTGATAGAGATGAATTGTTTGAGAGTTCAAGCATCTGAAGAAAAAGAAGAATCGTCCCACCAGATCCTCCACCAACTCCACCGACCAAAGATCTGTTACCACTCGCCATTGGCTTCTCAAAGCTTTGGCCATCAGAGCTTAGAGATCCATGCAGATTAAGCATCAAAAGAGGAAACTGGATGGAGCCAATTACTGAAAAGTTGGAAAAATAATTGTACGTCAGATGAGTAAACAGATAGTTGACAGTGTAGTACTATTGACTGCCAGCTTTTCCAAAATAATAAAAAATTAATAAGGAGAAAAGTGAACTATGATAGTACTGACCAATCATCCCTCCACCAATCACATTCTCATATGATTTATCTGGACTTTCAGCTCCGCTCCCTAACTCACAAGGAAAATCAGGGTCGCCGTAGGTATGACCTCCATTGCACACTCTCCCATTGAAAAGGCCAGATCCCCCTCGCCCTCCATGCCCAGCACCACAACCAGCCCCATTAGAATAAAGTCCTTTCCCCAGCCCACCACTGCAACCTGTCACAAAATTTTGTGCATAGAATCAGAAACCACATTTATCTTCTTGAATACGCAGAAAAGTATT